CTTTTTGAATAAGAAAATAAATCGAGTTGATTAACGTCTGCCATGACTGTTTTTGCGGCTATAGAGACATTTTATATATATTAAATAATATTTTCTTAATAAGGATATTCACTACCGAAACATCAGTAAATTAAAATTATAAAAAAGGTATAACAACAAGTTTTGTACAAGTGATTCATGAGTGGAAACTTAAAGCAATATTTGTTACTATTAGTTGGATGTTTTAGTCTGAAATCTTTAGTTATTTAACAAGCGACTGTTGTTGAGTATAAAACGTGTAGATTACTTTGTTCGGAGAAATGTTAGTTACATAAATTCGCATAGTATATGGTTTCATTTAATTTAAGATATGCTCAGCTGTAATAAACTGCTAGTTCTCTACGTTCAGGATTCCCTTTACGTAACTTTAATTAAAGTAACCGCTCGGAACCTTTGAACTTTTAAGTTCATTTAAAATATAAAGGAGAAAATGTTGAAACCAAGACATAAACTTGTCTCTTTGATTAGAATTTGTATTATAACGACATAGTTTCTAATTTTTGCAAAATTAGTTATAATATTTTAACTATGTTGACAACTTTCTAATAAAACAAAAGGTTAAACTCATTGAATATTTTTATTACTTTTCTAAATATTTACACGAGACTTTCTATTTTGATATATATTAAGGTAGGTAGATAAGTAATCGGAAACGTCCCTCTTCAATGTGTCCATTAATCTTATCACTTGATAGCAGCGGACGAGTTCGCTAGCCTAAAGCTAGGTCGGTGCATTTGGCTGCGAGCCACTCACTTCATCTTCTGTGAAAGATTCTGCAATTCATCTTAAAAATCACATACGGAATCTAAGAACATCATTTATTTCGTTTCCGTAACGTAAAGAACGTTTTTAATATGTAGAGGTATTTAAAAAAAAACAGTAATGTACATTTTATAATTATTTCCAAATTTGATATTTACATTCAATACTAAAAAGATACTAAGTCTTGATGTGTTTCTCTAAATTGTATTTTTTTTTGTTCAGAACAAATCCGCTACATTTTCATTACAAAGCTATTGTGGAAAGTTGTACGAGGATCTTTTCGAGTACATGAAAAAGTACTTTCGAGAGATAAGATTTTTCGGAAGTTAAATTGAATAATGCTTTCTTGTGAGTGTGTAACGAAGATCGATTGGCGATCCATTCAGGGTGGACAGGCGGGAGCGACGGCCCCTGACGTATCTGGCGAGCGTCCAGTAGTCTGCCTCGGCTGGGGACGCCGCCGCCGGCGCTCTGTCGCCGCACCGTACTATGTGCTACGTCACATTGCAGACAGCGGTAACATAACGTGTAGTCACACGTCCCAGTAGATTCCCCGTTTCATTGTTATAGTTTTCTTGCTTATTCCAATATATTGTGGGAAAGTTCATTCAATTTTTCAATACGGTTTCTTATCGACTATATAAAGTGGCACCTGTATCGTGAACAAGGGCCGTAATAAAATAAAGAGCACGTATTCGTAGACGTATTTAATAAAGTGCGTTCTCGTAGGCGTTAATTTTAACTTTTCTAAATGATGGATCGCTATAATTATATCAAAACACGCAGCGAACTGGAAACCTTGAAGTTCAAGTACATTGAAAACATCTAAACCTTTGATAATACCAAGGTTTTTAAATCAAGGTTTTAATGTCCTTAAGACCTATTACAAGGTAGGTTTCTTAACCCTGAGTTAATTTCTTGTTTAAAATAAATCGCTTCCGAGATGGCTTATCATGATCGTTTAGGAAACTAATGTAATCATTATATGCGACCCGACCAAAACCCCTTTACGCGTGACTAATTTAATACCAAAGGTTCTCGGCCTAACGTTAGGTACTACTACCCTATTGTGAAATTGAATTACCATTTCATGAGCTGTAATCGTAGGTAGCACTTTGGGGGATTAATACTGAAACTAACGGTCTATTTTAGTGTCCTGAATTTCTTATGGATTATGAAATATTGTTCATGATGACAATATTAACTTTTATTTGTACTAGTTTTTTCAATGTTTTTAATCTCATAACTCTAATCTCTAATTAAAGTAGTAAAATTTATTTTTTCAATAATAACCATTTTATAGGATTATCCAAGAATATCTCTCATTTAAGAATAACTATAAAAATAAATATAAGCCAGTAGAATATTGCGGGTATCATAACACCGTGGTAGCTGGTTGTCAGCGGGCAAATTGAAATTTTGATTTATGCTGTGCGCTGCCAGCTTTCAACGAATATGGCTCATGTTTCTTTGTGATATTTTGACAAAAATACACGGATGAGCAAGCCGTGTACAAGACAAAATACAAGTATTTATCTTTCAAAGCAATAGGAATATTATGTTTTTACATTCGTATTTTTTTTATAAATTTTCACTAATAGAAAACGTGATAAAATACGTAGGTAAATACGTATTACCTATATATTTAGTATCTAAGGTATTTCGCAATAACAATAAAAGGAAAATAGTCCAAGAATTATTTGTACTGTAGTTGTTTTCAATGGGCAAATAGCGCATATTTCTCGCTCAACTTTTAATTAAAAGCCCCGAGCCCCAAAACTTTTGTCTTCATTATTCTTAAACAAACTAATTGTGTATTGAGGTAGTAAATAAAGTACAAGAACAATAAAAACTCCAACAAAAAAGAAAAACAAGTTCAATAGCACGAGACTAGTATCGTTCCAGATACACTTTCCGTTGAGTCTCATCGGTAAAATATCGAGAACAGACTGCGCGACATTGGCGCAGTGTATCGTTTTCATTTCCAGTCTGCTGCGCGCACAAACTGATTTCATGCGATATCCACACACAAGCTTGCATTTTGACAAAACAATTGAACAAGGTTTTTGTTTTTAATTTGATCTTTTAGACTATTCAACACTTGCCCTTTTGTTTCTTGCTTCGTCAATTAGCTCTTGACTTTCACCTTATTCAGTAAGAGTTTCTTATTTAATAAACACGTAACTCTCGGCTAGGCTAGATAAAGCTAGATTTTTTACAAAGCAAATATACTAATTAAATGCAGACACGACATCGGAGTATGGAGGTTCCCATTATGGTTTCTGATGCCTAAATTTTAGCAATTCATCTATATTTTTCGAATGATGAAATAAAATTGATTTATATCCCGAATTGTGCTTTTATATATCCCTGTGGCGGGTTGAGCCCGTATATACCAGATACAAATATAAAAAGTCCGCAAACGAAGCGGTGCTCTGAAAACAAAAGACCACTCGGCGCTTTTGATAAAAAAAAAGAATTGGGTGCTATTCATGAGCTGCACGGTTACTCTTTCGTGTCAGATTTTTATTTTATATTTTATTTGTATTTCTTGAAGAAAAATATATATGAAATATAAAAATGGTATTGCAAATCTTTTATCTTGATTGTTTTTACATATAAATTAATCATTAGTGCAAAACATAGTCATGTATAGTGAACATATATAAAATATTTGCAGAATGATTAGCTCGTATGTTTCCAAGGAGAATTTCCTTTATACCTAAGAGTTTTATTTCTATACTAATCTTGATAAAGAAACTAAAATGACGGTAAACCCTATTCTTGCCAATTGCGCTAGATTTCCTTAAATGTGTAGCAATCTGATAAGGAACCTTTAGAATTCCCTTACAAAGAAATTCTTATCTAATAGGCGTTTACACCAGTGTTTAGTAGAAATGTTTTTACCTTTTCTTTTATTTGTAACCAACTGTGAAGGTAAGTGATAGGCTAGTGTTTACAACATTGAGCTCAAAGGGATATGAAAAAACGTCTATCAAGTAAACAAGACTCTAGGGGAATTTTTTGTACATATTTGGTAGTATTTTATTCATTTTTAGCAAATGGCCACTTTAATTCGCCAGAATAGCGGAGTGGACATGGAAAACATTTCATCCACCTTTAATCACCAGAATAGATTTAATATGAGGGTTGTCTGTTTTGACTAACACTGTAACAGTGTCAGCCAGTGTAGGGTTTGCAAGGAAATACAAAAGTTGCTTATATTTTGTAGGCATCTTTGTCAGCTAAGCATCCCCGTGCAGCCGGTGTGCAAACTTAATCCTACATTATGCAGCATCTGGCCACTACCTATAGAGCATTATTTTATAATTTACAAGGAAAAATTGTGCATTTTATTTCTAATCGAATACTTTAACAAAAGGAAAAATATAATTAAAACTTGGTTGGCTTTGTTCCTTCACATATCTTTCTTTTTGTTATTAATTATATTATACCTGAGTTTTCCTAATTAAATACGATTTTCTTAAATCTGTCCTACTTCAATTTAATAATATCTACGTAAAAACACTATATTTTATACATTCTTTCTTCTTTAATAAAAATACAATAAATTTTGCGCCTTACAAATTATAAGGCCACTGGTATTTTTAATATCCAGTCCTTGAACAAGCTTGTACGTCGGAATTTGTCTAGTAAGCGAAATTAATTAAAAGTTACCGTCATTAGTGTAGTTTGATCGAGTCGTGTTCGGTTCATGCGCGCTTTAATTTTCCTAACGCCCCATTTATCTTCACCGTTGCCACTTCCACTGTAATATAACTTCCTATTGAAGTCTCTACATTAGAAACAATTATACTTTCTATCAATCTTTAACTGAAAATAATTATTATCAAAGAAATTAATTCGGTTATGGAATTCTCTTCTTAGCAATAACAAAGACGTGATTAGAAGCAAGTATATATAATGATTTTTGTAACACGATAGCAAACAATGTTGGATCTTGCCAAACTCATCCTCAAAAGCTCAATCATTGAGCTCTATTCAAACGTAACTTCCATTTAAATTAATCATACCATTTATCAGATAATTGGTCTATTACAGTTTACTACCTGATGCGAAAATAGCGGTGCTGTATATTTTACCAAAACACAAATCGTTTAAAGATAAATATCCTAATTATTCCCATGTTTGTTAAATGTTTATTATAATATATTAAATAATGATCTTGTTTGTTGCAGGAAACAACCAAAGACGTTCGCGTTCGACCACTGTTTCTACTCTCTCGACTCAGCGCTGCCCAACTTCGCGTCACAAAAGACGGTGTTCGAATGTCTCGGCCGGGACATCCTCGACAATGCATTCGATGGCTACAATGCCTGCATATTTGCATACGGACAGACAGGTAAGGATACTTAAATAGAGTTACTAATGTTTGCCAGTTTTAGGTGCGCGATCCGATAAACACGATTTCGATTTTACGATTTTTATACTTTCTGAACCGTTAATTTAAAAGATAAATTTATCATGTAAATCAATGCTAAAGTTTTACGTAAATATACCTTCTACTCTATTAGATATGTCTACAGTTATATGTTTAAGTGCTTCGCCACTATTCATATTTCTTTTCGACATCGGCAGTCAACGAAAATAGAAAAGAGTCAAGGTCGCAGCGACTTTAACAATCCAACCTTTTGTTTTCAACTCTTGACTAGCAGGGGGTGAAAACTCACAGTTATTCTGTTATTTCTTTAGCTTATTTTTACGTGAGTTTTTATTGGACAAGTTTTTTTTAAATAAATACAACACACTATATTTTTATATCCAAAAGTAACATAATTTGAGTTAGTTAATAACTGTGCCTAATTATTTTCATCCGTGTAATTCAAAATATATGTTACGTCCGTTCTGTCCTTCATAGAACTTTATCATGTGGCCTAGGGGCGTTTCTGTCGGGAAATTGCTTCGCAAATTGAATGCTTTGACTCCATGCCATTTTAACGTTGTTTCAGCCGACAGCGTACGTATGTTGACTACAACAAAATATAAAATAAACTATTATTTTACAGTCACCACAAGTAATATTAAATTATTTGTATCTTGTATATATTTCTTTGCATAAATAAAATGTATTCCTAGAAATAATCGCCGTCGATTCAAACAGACAATCATAAAAATATCAACTGTTGATGGTTAAAATATTAAAATAACATATAATTACTCATAAGTGTTACCTATTACTTACATATACGTAATTAGGTACATTTACACAGATGTACCGCAATGTAAAGAAGTAATCTGCAAATAATTGCAACACTCGGATGCCGCTATTTAATTGCACATCAAAGTAAACGATTCGAGAAGATGCACAGATTATGGATTGTGAAATATTATGCATAATAATTACTTGCTCAATTACATGTTCCAATTAGAACATTGCTACCGTTATTAATAATTATAATATTAGTAAGATAACTATCGCCCGCAGCTCCGTCCGCGCGGTATTAAAAAAACCTAAAAGTATCCTATGTACTCTTCCAGACTATGTTCTATATCTGTGACGAATATAATCAAGATCCGTTGAGACGTTCTGGAGATACTTTGTAACGAAATCCATCCATCCATCCATCTAAATATAAACATTCGCTTTTATAATGTTAGTAATATAGTAGAAATATTAAAATATGGCATTGATTGCATTGAACTACAAACATCGCCGAATAATTACAAATCTATAAATATATAAAAGAAAGTCGTGTTAGTTACACTATTTATAACTCAAGAACGGCTTTACTGATATGGCTGAAAATTGGTGAGGAGGTAGCTTAGAGCCAGGAGACGGACATAGGATACCATTTATTCAATTTTTTTTTAATTTTTTTTTCGAACGTATACCTTGAAGAGCTGCCTTTTATTTAACTTACTAATATTATAAATGCGAATGTTTAGATGGATGGGTGTTTGAAGTTATCTCTAGAACAACTGAACGGATCTCGATTAAATTTGGCATACGTATAGAACATAGTCTGAAAGAACGCATAGGCTACACTAATGAGGTTTTTTTAAATATCCACGCGGGCGGAGTCGCGGACGCCAGCTAGTGTAAACATAAAACTGATTGAAACTTTGTTTGTTGACTATTGTATCGCAACAATGAGTTCAACTCTGTGTGTAACTTTTCCTTCTGTAAATTTATTTCGTTGCAACTTTAAATCTATTTCGGTCCGTATTGCTGTTAAACGATTTATTGGAGCTCTCCATTGCGCTGCAAACTTAACTAGTTTCTGGATTATTCAACTTGTCGAAACGATTCAAACTACAGACTTTGCCGGTGAAAACGTGGATACTGTTATAAGCGACCGATATTATTCGAAACAATTGCATAGAAAACAGAATAAGTTTAATAATTATTATTATTTCGTGTAAAAACAATATCTTACAAAACGTTTAAACATCACCAGTGGAGAATTATTGTATTTGCTTTACGGTAAAATTTCAAAGTAAATATTTTTGTTTTATGAACGATCCCTTTTTAATATCTTGTGAAATATGATTTAATCTGTAACAAAAGTAATGCCTATGGATTTAATTATCTTTGAAATTTTTCATTACTCTTACAGTACCTTTGATATATTATTTCACAAGCTCATTTAATATTTATAAAATCAAGGTTTCCATAAAGCACGCACTTGGGCTGTAAATTTAAATCCTGCAGTATTAGTATTCCGCTTGGGAGCGTTGTTTATAAACTAGCATTTCAACTGGCGGCTACCCTCAGATTTATACGCTGCTCGCCCACTAGCTGCGAGAAATTTTAATCTTGTTTATCGTCCACGTCCCGAGAAGGAATTTTTCTTTTCTTCCTTGTCATAAACGAGATTAGGATTAACCGCATTAATTGTCCTTTTTGGCAACATTTTTTGTGTCGACTAATTAGTTTTTTACGGATATTCTTTGTAGGAAATTGTATATAAAATATTTTATACTGTTGGCTGTAAATTATTTTTTTGTGTTTGGTTAGGATTGTCAAATTTAAAACAAAAATTCACAACCAATTACATAATATAATTAAAATGTGCGATTATTTATTTTCAGAATTTTCTTTGCCCTCACTTTAATCCGCCTTTCTCCAACTCGGCTGCTCCAACGCACATGTTACGCATTTCAGTTTAAATAGCAGGTCTTATTACCGACGTAGAAGTGTTCATTCAGCGAATAATATACGTGAAATTTACGTTCTGCCTTATATATCTCCGTCATGTGTACCAAAATGTACCAAACGTATATTTGGTTTATATCTCACACTTTCTTTAATATTTTACCTTATGTCATGCAGAATTTCTCTATATTATTAGGACCTATTTGGTATGAAGCCGTAGTGCACTTTAAATGTAGCTTTTTTCATAATTTGAATGGGTTTATTTATTAAAAACGATTTAAAATCTATGCTTGTCAGTTTTTCCGTGGTAATTCTGGTTTCGGGAATATCAATAATATTTAAATAATTTAACAGTAACCTAATAATTAGTATTTTAATATTAAAGAAAAACTTTATTTAATGTCTAAACATTAATCATATTCTGAAAAGTAGTGAGACAAATCAAGTGCCTCTCAGCCATGAAAACATTGGAGGCTCTCGACAAATGAGCGAGAGTCGAGCGCAAGGGGGCGCTGCGCTTGCCGTCCGGAAAATACAGAGTGATTTAATAACGGCTCGGTTCGATCCATTCATTCACAACGAGCTAAAACAGTTTGTGACGTTGCGACATTTTGAATACTGCTTAATTGGATTTTTTCTATTTATGTATCTTCGATTTAACTCACCTGGAAATTGACTTATCTATATTATTACGTTATCTTCAGAACGGCTCAATGGATCTCGATGAAATTTGGCATGGATGTGGGACATGGTCTGGAAGAACATATAGGCTACTTAAAAAGTTTTTTTTAATTGCGGATGAGCGGAGTTAGCGGTAACAACTAGTATTTTTATAAAATAAACATTTAAAATATTAGTTATTATGTATACGCAATGACCGGGATAGGAACGTTAACTTTTAATCACATCGTACACACGGAGTTCTCTCAAAAAGCAGTTATGAATAAAGAATGCGGGCATTATACGTCGTAGCCTTTTCATTAAAATTCCATGTGCTTTCAGAAAGTTACCGTACATGTTTAAAGCCTTGTATTTGTACAGGGAATGCGTTTAATAATCGATTAAGTTTTATACGCTTTATTAGTAGCCGAGATAAAAGCCCCAATTTTTCAATATTTGATATGTATTATGTCTTAAATATACAATGTATTTTCATTTATATACTAGCAGAAATATTCCTAATTAAAATCTACAAAAAAAGATGTATCAGAATATATAATATAACCGTTATTAAGGTGTATGTTTTCGTTAACGTAGAAATTTCCTAAGACGTCTTAAATCAAGAGGGTGTTCGCCCAAAGCTAGAGCTTAGCGTGGCCTTAATGAAATGCAATTTGAGAGGAAAACGGCGTCATTAACAGGGCTCGCACCCGGGACAAGTTATAACTTACTACCGCCAAGGAATTAACGATGGCGACTGTTGCTAGCAATGTACATCGAAAATTATTTATTCTGTTGTACGCAAATTATACAATATTAAATTAAGCACCCATCAAATATTCATAAAGCTGTATCCGATTATCGTTAACATTTTCACTGTTACGATTAAATTTAGAATTTGGGGTCGTGGAATCCAGACAAATAATATTTAAGGATACATTTAGGCTTACTGACAATTAATTAGTTCTTTAAGTCTCTTTGCTTTTGTAAGATATATGGGGGATACTTCGTCATATATTTAGTAGTAATATTTCAACGCATTGACACGAAATTAAAACGAACACTGTGTTTCATATTCGTTTTGTGGCTACATCTTGAGGTAGAGTCAAAAGCGCCCACACTTTACGTCTTGTGGCTGCGCCTTGAGAAGTGCACGCTTAGCTAGAATTTAGGTGTAATGCACTCTTGAGGGAATTACATAAACCGGCACAATTGTGTCAAGAATCCTCTTTTGAGAAATGTAATTACAGTTGCTCCTACTTCCTTAGACACCGTGTTTGTGGAATTTACCGCTCAGGTAAAGAGATGGGTATTTATAATGTGTCTAATTGTTATACAGGTATTTGTTTTACTCTAATTCGTTAATACTATTACACTGGGTGAATCGACCCGACCTGATAGTTTCCCTATGTGAAAAAAGATGCTACTTCCAGTTCATATTAGTCCTTTTGTCGATATAGCAATAGACCGAGAGATGCATATTCTGAAATAATAAATTGGAATGTCAGTTTAAAAAGACAGTTTTAATTTAACAGTAGTCTAGGAAATTGTTATTTTGTAACGTCGCGGCTGTAACATTTGTTGTT